AGGATGTCCAGCTGCTGCCAGTGATCTGCAGTTCTAAGGGGATCCTATTTAGGATGTCCAGCTGCTGCCAGTGATCTGCAGTTCTAATAGGATCTTATTTTGGATGTTCAGCTGCTGCCAGTGATCTGCAGTTCTAAGGGGATCTTATTTTGGATGTCCAGCTGCTGCCAGTGATCTGCAGTTCTAATAGGATCTTATTTAGGATGTCCAGCTGCCTCCAGTGATCTGCAGTTCTAATGGGATCTTATTTAGGATGCCCAGCTGCTGCCAGTGATCTGCAGTTCTAATGGGATCTTATTTTGGATGGCTAACTGCAGTGAGTCATCAGCAGTTGCTGCCAGGCCTCAGATTCGGCTAAACGATACAGTCGTGGTCATAACCACTGCTGGGGCTCCGAGTTCAGGGTATTCTCACAGAGTGCGAGTCCGAAGGCCAGAGTACTGCGGGTTCTCCAGGCAATGAGTCACCACCGGTCGTATAAGCCTAACAACGGGGTACGTTCTGTTCTTAAAGCGACGTCCTCTGATTCAGACTATTCCTCAAAGCAGAAACCTGTACTTTTCATACGGGACATTAGGATCTATGGGTGGTGGGGGGGGGGACGGGCGGTGTGGTTGGTGATGTCAGGTGATGACCCAGTCCATTTACTGCACCTAAGCTTTAATTACTGGTTTTTATAAGATCAGGTGCTGTATTCAGGGACACAGTGATCTAACATTTTTTCAGTGGACCCTGAGTTTCTAGCTATTGTGATCAGGGTTGTGGGGGGGGGCTGCAGCCTATACCTGGCACAGGGCACAAGGCTGGGGACGGCCTGGATGGGATGCTTGCCTCCTGCATTTATGAGCTCCCCCCCCCCCACCACCAACGTGTGACCAGGTTCACTCAGAGAAAGTCTTCATTAGCCTGGAACGTTGCAGGTCGATGCAGCGCCAGTCAAAGTCCGTCTGGCATCTTAGGCAAGCTTGTCCGGCAGCCCCCCCCCCACCCCCCCTCCCCGCAAACTTCACCGCTCAGTTTCACTTTGCTAAGTCTGCACCCCCTCAGAAGATGCCACCCGGGGCAAACAGCCGTCTTCCCCTTGCCGGGATCCGCCCCTCTGCCGATGCCGCAGTGTCATTGGCTATCTGTTGCTGACATCACCACTTACGCATGCTAATACATTTCATTGAGTCACAAGGTTTATGAAGGTGCTGCATAGGCTGATATGTCAGCGCTTTTAATACGTTAATGTTAAATAACAAAATGTTTCATAATGTTATAGAGCAGTGCTTCCCACAGACGGTCCATGTTTTTTGGATTAGGAAACACTGTTATGGAGTGTTTATGAAAAATCTGAAATGTGCCATTTGAATGCGCTGGCCCTCCTTTTGGCTGCCGGTTCGAGAGATCCTCCTTCTCCTCTGTTGCAGACGAGTCATTGCAGGAGTTTTCGATGTTCCTAAAAAACCTGGAGGAGCAGAGAGAGATGATGGTGAGTGAGTCATGGGTCGGGGAGGTTAGGGGTACAATGCTGGGTCTCTCATGGGAGGAATACAAGCTTGGGAATTATGTAGGATTCCCAGCCAAGTGATCAAATAGAAACCAGGGTATTTATAGATGGGAACAGGGATCTCCTCGCTTCCCTCCATGGTAACAGAAAGACGGCCGGAACGCCCGGTACCTTACTGCGCCCCCTCCAGTTCTGCCCGGAAGATTCTGCATGTGGCGGGGCATGTCAGCAGGGGTGGGGACACAGCTGGCCGACGGGGCGGTGGTCCCATGTCAGAGCCGCATGAGGAGATACCTCGGGCTTTTTCGGCAGATGCCCAGACTCTACTCGGATTTCCCTCTGCTGAAACACAGTCGCACTGTCACCTGAAACTCAAGAGCTCTGCCGTCAAGGCCGTTGGTGTCCTGGTCTTGCCTCGGATTTATTCTTAAGTGTGTTTAGCTTTAGTTTAGCTTTTCATCTTCAGTTTATGAGGCTCTAGATTTTTCTTAAGTTTATAAAAAAAAAAAAGCAGGAAATGTATAGAAATGTACTGAGGGCAAAAATGTCTAATTTGAGCACAACTTCTTTTAGTACCTTGTTTTGATGGGTCTGGCTTCAGGTTTAGTTTTTCTTTTCCCCAGTTTTATCCAAGTCTGTGGTATTCTGGGTACCGAGGCCTGACTGTGTGTGGGAGGAAGAGGCGGGGATTTGGGGGGGTATTTTAACCCAAGGTCGGGTGAGCATGGCTGCCTGACGTCAGGGCTTGCCTCGGGGGAGGAAGCTATGGAATGGGGCAACTGGCCCAGGCATGCTGAGGAGCTCTCCCAGAAAGATGACCCCCGCCCAGAGCTCCCAGCCAGGACGGGCCAGACACGGAGTGGCATGTCTTCTGGGCTGTTGTTGGCATCGGCGCTCATTATTAAAGCCAAACCCTTTTTTAAAATTCCGCTCGAGCCCCGAGCACGTATATGGCGACGCTTCCGAATCGAGCGGCGATGCCAAGGCGGTGCCTCCTGACGTTTATTTTGGATTATCGGCGCCAGGGACGGAGTTTCTGCTGAGATTTGTTAGGGGTCAGCTTTTCAGTTTGAGGGCGAGCAGAGTTCCGAGAGTGACGTCACATCGGAGAAGCGCTTCTGCGGAGACCGACTGCTTAAGAGTCTCCATGGGTAATGTGCAGGATATTTCCATGAAAACATAATTATATAGTAAATTTTAAGACACATGGAGCTTTTATGCTGACACTAAGCACAATAAATACACATTAAGCCTATTGTAGCGTCAAAGTCACTGTTAAATTACGACTACTGTGAATCATTGCTGGATGTTTTCCGATGTGTAGGTATATAATGTGTGTGTGTATTTGTGTATAGATATAGATATATATAAACTTAACCATATCCATAAACATAACACACACACATATATAACATGTCTGTGTTTTCTTTATGGGTATGGCTTAGCAGAGTCACCTACTGTTAACTGTTGAACAGTCTCCATAAACAAAATGTATATATGCAGTATATATGGTGTTCCACACCCACCTGACCTTGAGTCATAATAACACCCCAACCCCCCCCCACCATCAAGGCCGGCCGCTCGCTGATGCACTTTCTTTCCTTAGATGAGGAACATCACAGAGACCCTGATGAAGCCCCTGGAAAAGTTTCGGAAAGAGCAGCTGGGTTCAGCCAAGGTGTGCCCCCCCCCCCTCCCCACCCCCCCCGACACCAGCTGGAGGTTCTGGCAGATCTGAAGCGAAACAGCCCCAGGAAATACAGAATCACTTTAATCATGCTGACCGTTGACAGCCTGACCACCCCCATATCGTACATGACAATGTGCCAGTGATGTGTGTGGTCAGCTACGACTGAAGCATTAAAGGGGGAATCCCAGAAATCATATTTTTTGTCGTCACTGGATCATTTCGCGATTATCCAAAGCAAAATGTATTACATGCAGTCTGACCTTTCCATTCTCAAGTAAAATTTAAGTATGTAGAAAATCATATTTTTGCATCCCTCATCTTAGCGCAGCTTTTTAATGGTTTGACTGCATCCCTGTACATGTGAAAACAAAAATGTCATCCCCTTGTCTTTTCTGTTTTCTAACCCTCCGTTTCCCATGAACCCTCAGTGTCTTGCGAGGTGAAGACTAGCGTGTGATTATGAAATGCCCATTGGGAATTATAAAAACCAACTCTGGCAGCATGCCAAGCATCGCGAAGCAAATTAATGAAGCTTCCATTTCGGAACCAAAGCGTGCGTCTCTTAGTGGAATTCCACAGGAGCGGCACAGAGGGCGCTGTTGCTCTCCTTTTCTCGGGGCCGGCGTCAAACTGACCGTTTTCTCTGCTTTTCTCTTCGAAGGAGGAAAGAAAGAGATACGAGAAGGAGACCGAGAAGTACTACAGTTCCCTGGAAAAACCTCTGACGTTGTCGGCAAGAAAGAAAGAGCAGCATTTACAAGAGGTACATCTGACTTTCTGGGGGCTTCGTGAGCCAAGGATGAGGTCTTCATCCACTCAAGAATGACTCCAGAAAGGATGTTCAGTTTGATTGGCTCTGATTGACTGTTTTGCTTATTTCATGTGACAGATGCCAGAATACACATCAGGAGGGTATTGAGGCTGTAATTTATTTATTTATTTATTTTATATTCCCCGAGCCCTAGAAAAGGAAAAGCACATTGAGTGTCTTTATAGCGGAAAGGTCAGCCGTGGAGAGACCAACCAGAGAACCTCCAGACAAATATGCCACCGTTATGCCTTGTCCCGGCGTGCAGCCAGGTCATGAAAACGAAAACGCCTGTTGTCAGGAATAGCTTGGCTCATAGTGTAGTCTGACAGCGTAGGAGAACTGTAACCTGCCCCCCCCCCCCCACAGCAGGGAAAAAAGATCAAAGCAACATGAAGCTTCTCCCCGAAGCTGAGGAAGGTAATGATACTTGAACGGCATTAGTGAACGTAGACGTCAAGTCAGGGAATTCTTCAGTCCGCACTGGAAACGTGACCCTTGTCGCATCCTCTTGTATCCGGGATTATCACATCATGTTGACTGCATCTCCGAGCTCTCGGTGGAGCCTTAAAAAAATCGGGACTCCCGATTCTTACCACCACGGTTCACTGGGTGTTTTGAGTGACAGCTTGGCTGAGCTTAAAGCCCGGGAAAGCTCATCTCGCCAGCTTTGGTCGTGTGGTTTGCCCTTCGGCCCGGGCCTCTCTCGAGCACTCAGCCGGCTCACCATATATGCTGATCTCGCTCTGGTTCAGAGTTCCAGTAATACTCCCCCACCCCTTGATTGTACTTTGGGTCAAATTTTTTCCCTTTTACAGGCTGATCTCCAAGTGGAACAGATGAAGCAACATTTTCAGGAGTCGTCTCTGGAGTACGTTTGCAAGCTGCAGGAGATACAGGAACGGAAGAAGTTTGACTGCGTGGAGCCTGTGGGTGAAACGGTCACCACGGTCTTCCCTGAAAGCGACTGATAGCAGTACTCCTGTTTTTTTCCTTCTCACCAACTCCCACATTCCCCCCCTTTTCCATTCCCCCATCTAGATGCTGGCATTCTTCCAGGCCGTTTTCACCTTCTACCACCAGGGATATGAGCTGGCCAAAGACTTCGACCATTACAAAAAAGCTCTGCAGATCAACATCCAGAATGTGAGGAGCTGCTTCTTTGTCTGGGCCGTGCTGTGCTTAAATACGGTTTCCGGATAGGTCCGCGTTAGTATTTTTTCCACCCAGGGGTGTGTACGGGGAGGGGCCACAGGGCTGCTGTCCACAGCTGATTGGCTCTTGGAGTGCCCCCTGCCCTGTCACTCACCAATTCAAAAGATACCATTGGCTAATGACAAGATTGACCCCTTTATGAACTAAGGGCCCTGATATACCCCTAACCTAAAAAATATCCTATGGCCGTGCTCCCACCATATTTGAAGAAATGATCACTGAAATAAGCATAGAATGACATGTGAATTCTATTTATTCGGACACACAAGCGTGCTTTTCTGAATACTGCTCATGTGAGGCTATTAAACTTCCAAGTTTATTTTCCACGTAGGCTCTTCTTTCAGTGCCAGGGGTAACATTTTCCAACTGTTACTTAAGATTTATTTCTTTAAAATGAGGCCCCTCGGGAGAGCAATTTGAGATGTTCCATCTTCCTCGTCATCCATCATGTTTAACCCCGCCAGAGCTGAGAACTGAGTTCCTGCACCTCTTCCCTGTCTTCCCAGACACGGAGTCGTTTCGAGGGCACCAGGTCGGAGGTCATGGAGCTGATGAGGAAATTCAAAGAGTGCCCCAAGGAGCACAGGCAGACTAGCCCCATTAGCATTGAGGGCTACCTCTACGTACAGGAGAAGAGTAAGCATGAGGCTCCCATCCCGTAGAGCATCCGGGAGCTGGGAGGGGGCAAAAATGTGGACCATCTGTGGGTCTCTGAGGACCGCGTTGGGAAACACTGCCCCAGAGGGAGGTCGGGGGGACGAGGGGAGGGCGGATCCATGGCTTTTATTTTTATCATGCTGTACGTGAGCAACGTGGTCGTCCATAAACATGAATGAGGACTGGCAAACAGTAAGGGACGTGCAAAGACATTTCATCTCGCCTGTTGCTGAAGTTTGGGGCCACTTTACTGTAGGAAACCCAATTTCCACACCAAGAAGTTGTATCTCTCTGTCGGAGTCTTAATGTCCATGTTTATGCTCTACTTAGTACTTCTCATTTGCATTGTGACCAAAAAGAATGATACTTCACCTCAGTGTATGACTCCACACATCATATATCGGAAGCTGAATACTTTGACTTTTGAAAGTCTACATTCAGTTCGATGGTGCTGGAGGGAGGAACTTTTCATTGTGTACTGATACGAAACCTTAATTCCCGCCGCTTATAATGTCGCGGTCAGTGAGGACGCACACCTTGGGTTATTGCCAAGCAGCCGTGTCTGATCAGGCGTCGGCCCTGCCGTCGTACCCTTGAGCGATGATTTGTGGCCCACGAAGTAACGTAACACGACATAATTGAACCGTGGCTGTCCACAGGGCCTCCTCCCTTCGGTTCCAGCTGGGTGAAGAGGTACTGCACCTTCGTCAAAAACCAGAAGATCCTGCACATGATCACATTCGATCACCGGTCCGGGGGCAAGATTGTAAGTGGAGAGCAGTCATGTGATTGCATGGAATGAACAATCCGTTTGATGCATATGCCTGACCGCTAACCTACAATTAATACCCAGGCCTCAAAGGGCTGGGTCCTTGGCTGAGAGTGTGAGGATATTGGTCTATCAGCCTCATGCTGATGGATCTCTTCCTGTTTCCCACACGACAACCTTTGAACTTCCTGTACTGTTGTAGCCTCAATGCGCCATTCGTGACCTACACCTCCCCTCTCTTGTTGGCGACGGACCAATTTAATCCAGTTAAAGTCTCAATGTTAAAACCGCTGACTGTTGCCAGGGAGAAACGGAATCCGTCACCCTGAAGTCCTGTTTGCGGAAGACCACCGACGTGCTTGATCGGCGCTTCTGTCTGGACCTCGAAATCACTGATCGGTAAGACGTCCCCATCACCACGGTGACTGCTGCATGATGGTGTGCTGAATGACCCCAGTACCACAGAGGTCATCAGAACCCCCTGCCTTACGCCCCAATCTGAAACTGTATGGCTACAATCTAACAAACCAGGGATCAGAGCAGATGATGAAGCGTCACTGCCTCACCCACCCAAACCCACCATATTTTACATGCACATAAATGGAAAGATTGTGGAAAGCTTGCCGGCCCCCAGTGAGAACATTTAAGCCCCTAGCTAGCCAAACAACCCCCAGAGAGACTGCATTCAGTGTTCACAGCACTGCGCTGTGTAGCCAGGAGCTTATCCAAACTTAACAAGGAATGCAGTTTGGGATTTGGCACAGCGCCTCCTACAGGCCATGTAGCTGTAAAAGATTTGTCATGCTTTGCAGGGCCACAGTGTCACATTGTTATTGTGCCCTCTATTGGGCTTTTAAAGTTTCGTTTGTGTTTTGAAGATTTGTTTACAGAAACTTTCCGTTGTTCTTTTAAATGTTGATTGAAGTTTCAGATATGTAATTATTGCTAAACGAAAGGGTCTGACCTGCCCTCCAGTGTTTGCTTTTATTTGTGCTTGGAAGCGGGAAGTTAAGTGTGTATTGATAGCGTATAAATGGGTACCATGGCAACGTGGCCAAGCGCAGGAGCTGTGATTCATGAATAGATGAGAGAGTGCCGCATTCTGGAAAGCTTGATTTTTGTCTGTTTTCCTCCTCGTGCTATGTGTGAACCTACAGGCCAGGAGTGGTGCTCACAGTTCAGACACTCTCAGATGATGACCGCAAGTTCTGGATGCAAGCCATGGGTGGGAAGGAGCCTGTGAGTGACGATCAGCTTCCATCTCTAAGCCCCATAGATCTCCATCCCTCCTGTAGATAGGATCCCTTCATTTCATGCCATCTCATTTATGTACAGTTTGATTAACAAATATTTTTAATGCTTTTTCTGTCCACATTTAAGTACCTTTGCGGAGAAAAAAATGAAAAATTAATTTATGAACAAAATATGTCATTCAAATTTTTAAACTAAAAAAACCTCTTCATATGTCCCCCTCTCTTAACAGGTGAACTACTTGTGTAAGAATTATTCCAAAGAAAAAGGATGTAAGTGTGATGCAATTCTGTAATTTCTACTGGGGAATTGGATCAAAATAGATGTAGCTAGAGAAGCAGCAGATGCATTGGGCCCCTTTAAAACTGGACCTGAACATCGCATAAGCTCGAGTTTTCTGACTGCCTGTACACTGAACTCTGAACTGTGCAATGATGTCATATCTATGTAAATGCATTCGATGACCGGCTTAGAGAGAACAGGCACCTCTGTGATGTTTAATACATATATAGAACTCCGCTAATGGTTGAGTCAGAGGATTGTCAGACGGTTGTCATGGTGAAGAATCATTCAGATGTCTCATTTTAGCGCTTTTTCTTGTGAAAGTTGCCTTCCAGACCAATATGTGTGTGAATATGTGTGGGCTTCACTAATCGTGACATATATCAGCAGATAGGCTATTCTGTTCTTTTTTTTTTTCTTCCTTTTACAGTTGATGCACAACTGGATGACATTGGGCTGTCATTTGTGAAGAATTCAATCGAAGCCATTGAAAAGCGGGGTAAGGCTAACGGTTTCTGATGAGAGCCGTGAAACTATACACAATCCCCTCACATTAAGATAGTTATGTGTTTATTTACGTCTGCACGCCGTGGTTAAATTCTGTCCGGTTTAAAAATGTAATAAATGATCAAGCGCTTAACTCCCATTATCCCTGAAGTCAGGGTGAACGTTGCACTGCCTTCGGCTTACCACCAGAGGGCAGTGCCAGCATGTAATCTGATAGTCTAACTACAGTACGGCTACACGATTTGATTAGTTTGGATCTAAAAAGATAATCGCTTTAAATGCAAAACATTCATATTTTTTCTTTTTCATAAAACCTCAGTGAAATGGAAGCTTATGAGTAGCTACTAGTATTGTGATGTAGCAAAATCCTGTATTGTTTTTAAATGTATATTTGGTTATTTGTATTAAAATGCCTTGTACGTGTTTTTATGTGTAGGTATCAACGACCAAGGTCTGTACAGAGTGGTGGGCGTCAGTTCTAAAGTACAAAAGCTTCTAGCTGCAGTGACGGGTAAGACGCCTATCGGCCTCGCTGCAGATCTTCGGTCTCGAGATTGTCAGCCGCCTCGCGGGCAGGTTTAAGACGGTCGCGCGCCCGCGCGTGCCCGAAGCCCACGGTCAGACACGATAATGGAGTCCCGCCTTTTCCTCCCTCCGCTCCGTCAAAGTGAGCTAAATTGGCCGCTATTAAGGTAGCAGCCTAGACGCAAGGATAAACATGGCTAGTGTCCCGGCTAGCATCTCGTCTCGCACTGAATGTACTTCTTTTAATGTGTTAAATGGTATTCTGCGGCTGATAGGCGGGTAATGGCGGGGGACGGGCTTTCTGCACCGTCCCGGCTGACACGTCGCGGTTACTTAACCTTAAAGAGAGACGCGGAGAGACCGACGAAGCGAGGTGATGTTGCTTGGTTAAGATAACTCGCCTCCCTGCGCCCTCTTCGCTTGCAAAACATCCGTGGGAAACTTCGGGCGACAAGCTCAATGTTAAAAAGTTACCCGGAAGTTTTAACTGCTTTTACTCGGGAAATTAACGTTTGAAATGTTCGTTAGTGAAGAGACGTCGATGTCACTGTAATCGCTAACTGCCCTGCTGAGCTGGTTTCCCGCCTGTTTAAAGGCTCTGAGGAAGCTGTCATCACGCATCTGGCGTGACACTCATGCCAGAAAACTTAGGGCAAAACGAAATGAGTCCATTATAAACTTTAGCAATTAGCAACAGCAAAACCATTGAGGCAGTTTGCAAACCCTACAGACTGTTTATAAGGTAATAAAACTGTTACATACATTTAAATGCGTGTGCATGTGTGTGCAGACTTGTCTCGAATTGAAATGTCACGCCAGCTTGCTGACCAAAGTTGGCAGCCCTGGAGTTGCGTCTTGCAGAGTGACAGTCATATTTCCGCTACATTATCCTTCCTATGTTTGCAGTGCACTGGAGTTCAGGTGTCCGCTAGTGACCAGCTCACGGGCATTCAAATGCCCTCCCCGACCGCCATACTACCACCCCCCCCCCCCCCGGTTGAACTCAAGGCCCTCGTCCGGGTGTTGTCCTTGTCTGCGACACCTGGCTAGTGTACCTCCACAGAGGGGAATTAGATCACGCCCCCCCCCTCCTCTATCACCGGCAGCCACTCAGCCACCCCCTCCCCCATCCCGCCGGCAGCGTGCCCAGCATCGCAAACGCCCCCGTCGCTGCCTGGCCATTTCTTGCCAGCAGAAACATCCGTAACGTGTGGATGGCAGAGCCGTGGGAGTGTACTATAGGGAGAACCGCTCGGTCCTGGAAAAATGTGCGTAAACCTGCCGGCATCGGTCTCTCTCCCAGCACCCGAGTCAGCATGATTCATGGTCGGATCTATATTCATGCTCCGGCCAAATACGTGGTTCACGTAATTTTTTTCTTTAGTTCATTTTGGGTTTTTTTGTTTTTTTTGGTTTTTTTTTTTTAATTCAAATACCTGTGTAGAGGAAGTAACAAAACACAGTGACAAAGTTTTAAACCATTTTCTGTGTAAATATTTCAGACTGACTCTGAGGAGTTTTGCGTTTGCATTAAACTTCTAAAGCAGTGTGATCGTAAGTGCAGGTTGCTCTGTGTAAGGGTTCTATGATTTACAGTCATGTCCGGGGAGTATTAAGGTTCCTGATGGCTGTAGACCTCTGAAGAAGGCCTGTAGCTGAGTGGTTATTCATTTTGTTACCTCTGAGAAGTCCCTGGATGTTGCCCAGTGTTTCAACTACGAGTTTTATTTCTCGTAGTTGTACCCTCATGCAGAGCATGATAAAAACCATGAATGATCAATTTGCTGGAGATACCGCTTACCAGTGGAGAACGTCTGGCAGATCAGCATTACAGCAGATCGGGCCTCTCTTAAACACAAACACTGTTTCTTTGGAGACTTCCGTCAAATCAGTTTGTTCGATAAATACTTGTTCGGAATCCCATTGATATCAGACCAGGTTCCCTCTTTGGCCGGTGAACGCAGACACTTGTTAACACCCTGTCTGGTCCTTTCTCATAACTGCTTGAATTGAGCATTGAACATTGAATTGATGGTGTAACACCATCTTCAGGTGCCAGATAAGGTCTCCGTACCACCAGTGACCTGTGGGTTTTCACCATCAGCCAGGCTTATATAAAAATAGCACATCGCTACGTTATAAGATGCTGTTGGATGTCCTAGTCAAAAATGTAAGTGTTTTTTTTTTCCAGTCTGGTAATTGTTTTCTTACCACTTGCAGGAGAAAATAATTTGTACATTTTAATATTAAACAAACTTACTGGCTTCCCCTAGTGAATTTTAATAAAATGTCATTCAGAAGCTATTTCTGTTTTTGTAAACATCAGCTGAGTCACCTCATGGTCGTCTCCAGGAATGTTTATTTGCATCGAAAGTAGGACTTAAAGGGGTTTCCAGTGACCCAGGTTGACTCTGACCTATTTGAATTTGACTCTCTAATATCCTTGGTGCATTTCAGACGAGAAGAGCTACAGCGAGGTCAATTTATCAACCTCCGAGGAGTGGGATGTCAAAACTATAACCAGTGCTTTGAAGGTGTTTTTGAGGTGAGTGCTACTCGACCGCTATCCATTCTGCATAAACACCTGGGTCATTTTCTGTTGACTAAGAAGTTGATCCATTTGTAGCATTTTGCTCAGTCATCACATACATTCACGCCCCTTTTCCGGGACTCGAATCTGAAGCCTTCCGCTCTGAATTTCAGAATCGCTGGGATTCTAACTTTTATACTGACCCCCAAGATGAACCCCCATAAATGTAATATTTTTCCAGGACATTAAACTTACTGTTAAATAACGTAGTTGGATATTTTAAAATGTGTATAGAAATAAAGGTTAAAACTGAAGATAGGTGGTTACTCTGCAGAGAGAGAGAGTATGGGCCTTAGGGCTCAGCCAGTACAGGTTAATCTGCGCGCTTTCCTTGTCTCCTAATGAGCTACTGCATCATTTCGATATTGATTTTGGTGTTTAGGAAATAAAATTTGGGTCTGTGATTCCATTGTGTTGTTTTGTGGCTCTCAGAAGCTTTGAGCTCCAGCAGGAAACGGCGATCCTTGAGTTTGGGTTCGGTTTTCCTTCTGGCACAAGCTGTGCTGCGTTATTACCATTTTATTGAATTAATTGCAAATCAGTGTGCTCCTTGACTTAGGAATGAGCACAGATCAGGGGTGAGCAGTCCTATCCAGAAAGGGCTGGTGTGTGTGTGGGTTTTGCAACTCCCTAATTAGATTACTAATTAGAGGACTGATTGGCTGAAGAGTCCTCACACCTGGGTTTGAACAGCTGACCCAAAGGTTATCCCAAAAACCTGCATACACACCGGCCCTATGCGGATAAGATTGGCTGCCCTTGGCACAAATGGATTCAGCCAAAACCAAGAATATGCAATTCTTCTCATTCATAAGTAGTACTGTACTTTATATGTAAGAAGGTAGCTGGGTGTTCAGTGGAGATACACTGGAGAGTTGTCATCCACACAGAGGATTTTCATTAGCAATTCAGTGTTTAGAAGTGTGAGCAGTGCAGGTTAGCTCAGCCCTGCTGTTTTCTGTTTACAGCAGCCCAGGGATTTGTCTCCTGTTACACTTTTCTAGAGATCCTTTTATGCGTTGAGGTGAAATGTTGAAAACAGGAATTGGAACCAAGTCAACGAAGCAGCGTTTGCAGAAACTGTGTTGTTTCCTGTTGAAGTAATATGTGTAGTCTTTTATGTACCAGTAAATGGATGCAGGAGGGTCTGGTGGGCATTAACTGGGCCATCTGAACAAGTTCAGACTGGATTGGAGAGTTCCTGCTAGCATTGTTATAAACTGCTCTTCCCACCCGCACAAGTCTGGTGGACATGTGATCACATGGTCTTACTATTAAAGCCTCGTGATCCTTTGCAGGTTTGGACGTCCAAGTGGTTTTGGTGGTAGTGGGAGATGCAAAAGGTCACCCCTGCTTTTCTGGGGCACACTCACGTCACAAAAACTTTTAGGGGGATCTAATCATGTCATCATATGTCTCAGAAAACTATCAATTTCTCTTCAGGAGCCTTCCGGAACCTCTGATGACCTATGGGCTGTACAAAGAGTTCATCATGTTGGCAAGTGAGTATTCTGTTTTGTCTCCACAGCCTCTCTCTACCTGAGCTCCTTTCCGTCCTGATTGATCAATAATGACTTACGGTAACGATTTCCATTCAGTTTCTTGGTAGTTGAGGCCTGTTATGTTTACAGGAGATTCTGAGAGGTAGACTTGGTCAAATTTTTCTATCATTTCAAACACACAGCAGACATAGGCCCTACACAAATGTTTTTTCTGTCTCTGTGATGAAAAAAGGGATTAATATAATGTCTTATCCCTTGCACCGTGCCTGGTAATGGTTTCGTTTGCGGCCGTCTCCTGTATGAATCAGATGTCGTGAATGACTGTAAAATGGCCTCATTTTCATATTCAAATAACACTCTTGCATGCCCTCTGTCCAAGACTTGGGCTCTCTTGAATCACGCCGCCGCGTCAGAAATGAGAAACAGCTGCAGGCTGTTCAGGGTCAGATCACCAAAACTCAGTGGGAACGATCTAGTTCTGGACTGGATTGTGGGTTTGGCTCACGCTTATGGGGAGGAAAATGTATGGGATTAGTCACTAGCGCTCAAAACAAATTTCTGCTGCTTGGGGTCTCGACTCTGAGGGAATCACAGGTCAGTGATCGTTCCCTTTTTACCCCGAGAGCTGGCAGAAGCTGGAAATTTACCTCATAAATGGAAATCTGGCAAAGTAATGGGGATTTTTCTTTTTTCAAACTCCGAACCTTTTCTGAGAGCTGAGTCGCCTCCGAGGATTCCTGGGACGGCAAAGCGACATCCTTTAGCATATCTCGTTACAGCTGGGTGACTGGCTCGGTGGTGAATCGTGCCTGACATTTACACTCACGGGGTGACTGCGTGGTGGGTCAGCACTGCGTCAGTCCGCGGGGGGGGGGGGGGGGGGGGGGGTGGGGGGGTGTTGTTTTTTGGGGGGGGGGGGGGGGGGGGGCGTATATTAAGGTCTCCT